ATTCAATCAACAGGTACTGTCAGACCTGTCTTAAAAAATATCCCAAATATGGTCACATTTCCTGACCTCCACCACTACCATCCAGCCACCATTCCCTTTCTCCCCCACCCGATGCACTAGTTTCCTGTCTGATTCTCTCTCTTCTTCTCCCTGCACCTCCCACAGTCAGAATTCTGCTAACACAGCTAGGCAGTGGGGTCCAACATATCTCAAGGCTCACACTCCTTCCTCTAGACGAGGGTTTCTCCACTTGGCATTACTGACATTTGGAGAAGGCCTGTCCTGTGCACTGTAGGGCATTTAGCAGCATTCGATCTCTAACCACTAGATGCCTGTGGCATCCCGGCCCCTCATCCCAAGTAATGACAAACAGGAAAGTCTCCGGACGCTGCTGAGCGTCTCCTGGGGGCAAAACTGCTCCCTGATGGGAAGCACTGCTTACACCACACAGGTGACCACAGGGCATGTTGGCACCAAGAGCTCTATCTTCTAGCACTCCCTCCCCGTGGTCCTACCCACGGCTTCCGAGCTAGGGCAATCTGTACTCTTCTGTGAATCAACTTCTCCTACCTTCTGCCTTTGCTGCAGTTCCCTCCACACTCCCCTCTTCCTTCAAAGAGCTGGTGCAGGTCCCCGACCACCAGGAAGTCCCCATGACTACCCAGGCTCACAGGGAGCACTGTCCCAAAGTTAACAGCACTCCTCTTACTACTTTCCAGAAGGTCACCTAATCCCAAACACAACAGACCTTGGCTAGAAGGGCTCTTGGAAATCACCTAGTCACTTAGTGTGCATTTATTGAGCACTCCTGTATACCAAGCACTGGAGACAGAAATCTGTAACCGATAAGGTCCCCACCCTTATTCTGCGGTAAGGGAAACCAGGCTTAAAGGAGCAAAGGCTCTTTCAAATCTCACTTGCCCAGGAAAGGAATCCCATACTCTGCCTTTCTTTCCTCAGGGGCAGCGTAGCTCGGAGCAGTCGCCACATCAGCTGGTGTATCACCATAGCATGTTCCCAACTAGAACATGGGCAGCGCAGCTCAGGGCTCAGAAGTGTGGGCCCGGAGTGAGAAAGACCTGGGATCCAATCCTGGCCCCTCCTTACTATTTCATGACCCAAGTTACTGACTTCTGGACCTCAGTTTCCCCAACTCTAAAGGAGGATAAAATCATGAGCCTCCTGGGAGGGGAGTCAGTGACATCAGGTACAGCACGGGGTGCTGGCTCGAGGTAGGGGCTTACCCCCTCCCGGTCCGGTGAACCGTCCCCAGCCTGTCCCCACGGCCCCACCGAGTCACTTATCCCTTCAAGGGCCAAGTCAAGTCTCTAGTCTCACCAGCATCTTACACGACTGACCACACCCTCCTCCCGGGACAGCCTCTTGGACATCACACCACACTCTGCAGAGTTTCCTCTGCTTCTCTGGACTCCTTGGTCAACCCACCCTCTACAAACGGGAGCCTGCCGCTGGAGCCTGGCTTCTGTTTTCTATCTTGTTCTCATCTTGCGTAATCTCATCCCACTGAGCGACGTGCCAACGATTTCTGAGTTCCTACATCAGCCCCACCCTTTCCTACTGGCTCCAGGCCAGTCCATCTAACTTGGGCTCCACTCAAGCCACCCAACACTCACGGTGCCCCCAGCCGAGTCCTTGAGTCATGCCCCCAACATCACTAGTAAATGCCAGCATAGCACAGCTGATTCCTCACGCCTAACCCCCCAAATCCACGGCAGAAGCTACCCTTTCCCCAACCCTGTCCTGTCAGTTCCGTCTCCAATACACTTCTCCACCTTCTGTGCTTCTCTCTACTCCACCATCGAGTCTAACCACAATTACCTTTCACTACTGACTGCAACGTCTCCAGTCCCCGCACCTCCGCTCCCCCCCCACCCCATCCCGCCGCCTGGAGAGAGGGCTTGGGCACAGAAGGCAGCTCAGCAGCCCTCGGGCGAACCCCAACTCCACAGAAGGTCCCCGAAAACGCCTCCCACCATCTGGCCTCGAAAGACGGCTGCAACCTCACTCCCACTGTCACCCCGGCGCCCAGCACGCTGGCCCCGGCGGTGGGTCACGCACGGCAGCTGCGTCCTTTGCGTCTGCTGTTCCCTCTGCGAGGAACACTGTTCCACACCGCCCTGCGCGCTGAGCTCTCCTCCAGGGCCTCCTCGTCCGCACAGCACCGCCCACCACCTGACGCTGCCCGGTTTGCCCAGGA